ATTATTTATCTTCTCTTTTACTGTTTTTTTATTTTACTTTTCAGGTTTTTTTTATATATTTAAATTCTTTTTGTTATATATATTTTTTTACTTTTATCAATTTTTATTTTTCATTTTATTGCTATGACACAGGAGCTAACAAAGCCCCTGTGTGCTAGCATTTAGAGGTGACAGGTTCTCTTTATAGCAGCTTCACCGCTGTACATTTAGGTCTGCTTACCTGAAGCAGGGATAAATGTAGAAAAAAAAAACTACCTTCCCAGCGCCTGAAACTGCATGTCTCGGGCGATAGGAATTCCACACCACACCCCTGCTGCCCCCAGGCCGGGCCTTGTTGGCCATGTGGGAAATCCGGCCCTGCATACACCTATAGATTATCTGCAGATTTTCTATGGTCGGATGGAAAAAGTGCAACAGATTCCTCCATCTACGCTAAACTGTGTGGATGGAGGAATCTTCCACTGGGCCAAGCTTCAGTATCTTGCTAGTCGGCCCCGCTTGCTCTCAAAACACCTGAACAATGCCTGCGTAAATTTGGATTGTTCAGGTGTTTTGAGAGCCAGCGGGGCCGACTAGCAGCATACTGAAGCTTGGCCCAGTGGGAGATTCCTCCGTACACACAGATTAGCGTAGATGGAGGAATCTGTTGCACTTACCATCTGACCATAGAAAATCTGCAGATAATCTATAGGTGTATGGCCAGGTTTAGAGTGTACGGCCAGCATTACACAGTTGAGATTAATATCTCCTGTTTTATCTGTAAAATGTGATTCTGGACGACCATTCTTATAATTTGCCCATCACTATTGCACTATAGTCCTTAAATTTACTTTAGTGTTTCCTGGTCCAGCCTTCAAAATGGGTCAGCTCCTACTCCTAGAACAACAATAACGGTCATTTTCCAGTTAGCAGGCAGGAGGTGGAAGGATAACATACGAAGGGGTATTGCTGAAGCAGGAAATGTCTGTCAGCCGCTTGGCTATGCAGTGTGGGTAAAGTGCATAAACATAGAACTGGCTGAACAGAATTGCAGATCCTATGGTATTCACAGCCGTCTGCATAGACTATGTCTTGTAAATATGTATTTAGCTGTTCACCTGGAGGGTTAGAGCTCCACTTCTGGCTAGCAGTTCCCTGCCTACTTGATGTTTGATCCGTACCAGCAAATAACCAAATAATTCTTCTGGATAAATCCCAGACCTGCTTGGCAGGCTTTGATGTTAATGCCCGCTCACTGTATTTTTCACACAGCCTTTGAAGCAGAATACTTAGAAGTGTACACAAGTATTTGGCCTTCGTGACACTTCTGACACTTAATAACCTCCCGTTATCCTGGACAATGTCAAAAATACATTCAAGTACATTAACAACAATGTATCTTATTTGTGTATCACTCGGCTGTAGATCCTCCAATCATCTCTGAGTTGGTGCTGACACTGTCCTTCCTTCTGGAGGGGGGCTACTTTTGTTCCCCATGGTCCCTGTGTGTGTTGTAAAGTCACCGCTCCAAGCTCACTCCAGGGATGGACTACAATCTCAATACAAATGAGTAAACTGAACATGAGATTGTAGCCCATCCCGGTAGTGAGAGCTTGGAGCAAACAATCCCTTTATAATAACATTTATATTTGACCTGTGCATCATGTGCTTTTCAATTTCCTTTCTCACTCATCTTTGTGTCTCAGTTCCCCAGGTATTCGGAGATTGTCCACTTGACTCTGCCTGATGGTACAAAGAGAAGCGGGCAGGTGCTGGAAGTTAGTGGATCTAAAGCTGTGGTACAGGTAAGTCATGTTGGAAACAAAAAATGGTTCCGTGGCTTGTGCACTGATCTGCCGTGCTTATTAGGAATTGTACATAAATACATTTCTGGACTTCTACAAATGAGGAGTTCAGCTTACGTTCATATGTATAACAATAATCCCCTTGCTGATTGGCTGGAAAGTCAGCTTCATTGGCGGGAAGCCGGCTCCATGTTCCCCTACGGCACTGGCGGTCAGAAGAAATCTTCCTCTGACTGGAAGTTCCGGTATCTGGGAAGGTATCTGAGCATTTAGCCGAGTAAGAGTACTCTCCCAAATACCCGACGGGTGTCGGCATCCCAAATTATAGCTATAGTTGAACACCTTGCCTACATGCATTCCATGCTCTTTTTGAGGTCTATCTCGCCGTGTATCATCTTGTACAGGTATTTGAAGGAACATCCGGTATTGATGCCAAGAAGACCTCCTGTGAATTTTCTGGTGATATCCTGAGGACCCCAGTATCTGAGGACATGCTGGGTATGTAAAGACACCTCATACTGTATAAATTACTGCTGCCCACTGTTCTGAGCTGCAGAGTCGATGCTGTTTTTGAAGACTAGTCAGTTTTGGTCTGTTGGAGGGGTTGTGCTTTTTTTTTATTAGTTTTTTTTTTACACTTTATTTTTTCTTAAATAATTTTATTTTGTTTTACTTTTTTTTTTAAATGTTTTTATTTTTTGCACTGCAGCGCATGTGTATGGCGTACACCTCAATATGTGTATGTTATGTGGGGGGAGGGAGGGGTTGTGCTTTTTTTATTTTATTTTTTTGTACACACTTTTTTATTTATTTTTTACATTTTTATTTATTTTATTTTTTTTACATTTTCTATTTTTTAATGTTTAATTTTTATTTTTTTACTGTTTTTTTTTTTTACTATAGTAGAACTGTAAATGCCAGGTCCGTACGGCATACTGAGCTGGCCAGCTGGAAGCACTTTTGTAGCTCCGTACGTCCTTGGCAGCGAAAGGGTTAAAAGTAGCTTTTTGTACCAACAAATGAATTATTTGCACATGTTTAATTGAATTCTGGCCATATACTGTATTTATGTACACTTGATTATTGAACAGCTGTATTTACATTGTAAAAAAAAAGCTTTTCTTCAGTTCAGGAAGTTTGCTGGTTGAACAGAATATCAAAACACCCCATTATGTCCTTTGGAACCACTTTAACATTGGCAGCTATGATCTACCAACCAGAAACTCTGAATACATCGCATCCTCATTTTGAATTGGTCTCTGGATGTGTTCTGATCGCTTTGTTTGCTTTTCTTCCAGGGCGTGTGTTTAATGGCTCAGGAAAACCCATAGATCGCGGGCCCACTGTGCTGGCGGAGGATTATTTAGATATCATGGGTAAGTGAGGATCCCTGAAATTTCTGTAAGTAGACATTTGCTAGGTTCACGATACTGTATCATTGTGTGTGCGACACCCAATGTATCTTCAGAACACGGCTTTATTACAGCGATGTGCATAGTCATGCTGCAAAAATGCAGAATTACCCTAATTTTTCCCCATGCCTCAAGGTATATTGCATACATTTTGTTAAAGGGCTGCTTACTGCAATTTGCCACTACGCACAACATTCTGTGTGCTGCAGCATGCTGCGTTTCTGGTGTGAATAGGCCCATAGGGATTTTTTTTCATTGTGAAGATAATTTTAAATTTTTTTTTTTTTTTAATGGGTTTCTATTTGATCTTTAGTTGCATTATTGTAGTAATGATCCCTATAGCAACCAATCAGGCCAATTTTATTTGTCCAAAAACTTGGAGATGGAGTGATTTGGAAACTTTAAAAAGAAATAGGTACTTATCTTTTTACTATATTTATAACCTATAATAACATGTATCTTTTTTTTCCATTTGTATATTATATATGTATAAAACTTTTAAAAAAGACATATAGATCAGCTATAACATTATGACCACTGACAGGTGACGTGAATAACATTAATCATCTCATAACAATGGCACCTGGAAGTGGGGGGGGGATATGTTGGGCAACAAGAGAACATTTTGTCCCTGAAGTTGGTGTTAGAAGCAGAAAATAATGGCCAAGCGTAAGGATTTCAGTGACTTTGACAAGGGCCAGATTGTGATGGCTAGTCAACTGGGTCAGAGTAACTCCAAAACTGCAGCTCTTGTTGGATGTTCCCGGTCTGCAGTGGTCAGAACCTACCAAAAGTGGTCCCAAGAAAAGAAAAAAAAAAATCTATAAACTGGCCACAGGTTCATGGGCGACCAAGGCTTATTGATTCACGTGGGGTGAAAAGGCTGGCCCGTGTAGTCTAATCCAATAGAAAAGCTATTATAGCTCAAACAGTGGGGCAGCTTAAGGGCAGGATGTCCCAACTGCCAGGGACCTTTTCCTTAAAAAAAAAAAGTTAGTGCTCGTTCCTATAGAAAGGTGTCTGAACACACAGTGCATTGCAGTTTGTTGTTTATGGGGCTGTGTAAATGCAGACCAGTCAGGGTGCCTATGCTGACCCATGACCACTGCCAAAAGCCCGCACAATGGGCACCTAAGCATCAGAGCTCTGGGTTGTGGGCATGACCTTGCTATCCTCACATACAATGCAGGGCTACTGGTTCTGCATTGTATGTGAACTCCAACTGGGGTGTCGTGGAAAAAGGCTACTGGGGCGAGGATTAGGTACTACACACTGAAGATCATGTGAAGAGTTGCAGCGCCATCACTTAGCCTTTCCGGAACTGATGCACTGCTAACCCTGTCACTGGTGGGAGGGAATCATTTGGGAAACTCAAAAGACCAGATCCAGAGGAAGGGAAGTATCCCAGTAAGCCTAAGGAGTGTGGGCATTTTGATTGGTATCATATTTGGCTGTGAATCATAAGCATGGCCCGAACAGAGTTGAATATGTTGGCAGAGGATCATGCATTTAATGCACTCTAATTGCCCAAATTGATGAATTACTGGTATCAGGGTGCACATAATCCGATGTAATGGAAGTTTAAAATTTGCAATTAGAGATTTTTCAGATTATACTAGGCCTGATTTGTCACAGTAGTAACATAACGTGCTAGTTGTCTCATTGTCCATGGTGTGTGCTCCCTGCAGGACAGCCCATTAATCCACAGTGCAGAATCTACCCGGAGGAAATGATCCAGACTGGCATCTCTGCTATTGATGGTATGAACAGTATCGCTCGTGGCCAGAAGATCCCCATCTTCTCTGCTGCTGGTCTTCCCCACAATGAGGTGAGTTTGTTTCTTTTTTGGGGGGCTCTGGGTAATGGTAGAAGCGAATCTACAAATCTGTACATTTAATACAGTAGCAGATATATAATCTGCAATTTAATATGCAAATGTTACAGTGCACATAAACCCAACCACTAAAATCTCATGCATTTGTTAACATGTTAATGTAACTTCAAAAGTCCTTTTTAAAGAACTGAGGTGAGAGAAATCACTCATCCTCATCGTTCGAGCCGACGTGTGACAATGAGACTGTCACAGGTCGGCTCAATAGATCGGGAAGTGAGCGAACACATACCGTCGCTCGCTCACTTCTCGATCATCTCCCTGCAGAGAGCCGTGACTCAGTCACGGCTCCCTGCAGGGATCCCTCCCCTCTCCGATCCTCTAGCGCTGACTGGCGGATCGGACGGGGAGGTCGGCGGGTACAGCGGGCTCTGTCTATAGATAGGCAGAGCCCGCTGTCATTCACGCAGCTGGGTGGAACTCGACAGTAATGACAGGATCCGTCCTGACTGCGTCGGCCTCAGAACAACGTGAGCTGTAGCTCGCGATATGCCGAGCTTTGTGTCACGGGAGGATGCTAGTTTGTCCTCCCATGACACTTAAGAGAACTATGGGGAAAAACACTTACCCCATAGTTCTCTTTTAAATCTGTCATTTTATTAATACCAGATGATCCTTCAAGGGTCATTTTATCAGGCACTTCCTGTTATAGGGTGACAGTCATTTGTCCCGATCTCCCAGGTGTATTCCGGCATTGCATACCAACCAAATTATGCAGGCATCGCCCACTGTTATCACGATCTACTACCTGCTCTGACGGATGCCATGCAGTTGTCTCTGGAGTGCATGTAGACTGGAAGTAGCTGCAGGAGATGAGCAGTGCTGGGATGTAATGGATGACAAAAAAGTGAAAAGAAGTATTTCATTAAACAAACTATATGGAAGCATTGCAACTATTTTATACACAGTGATTTGGCAAACTAAGGGGACTCATTTATAACCAAGCAGGTTTCACTATCTGCTGTGTTATGCTTTGCCTCACTGCACACAATGCGGCCCATCCCATTCATAAATCGGGCTGTAGCAGGAGAAGCCCCATGGAGTTATCTGCTCGATAAGAGCTATGATTGGGGGATAGCCAGTCATGTGATGGCCCTAACCCCCTTTTTTAACATTTCATTCACTTATACTGTCCTCTGAGCTGCTTAGTGCGCAACACATTTGTAAAGCACATTGATGTGCTCTATGAATATGCTTATTTTTTAAATGAACCCCTAAATTTCATTCAGTTGGGGTTTGCATCTACTTTAAGGTAAATACTGCAATAACTGCAAATATTCCATGCTTTCTCCTTGTTGAGAGAAAATATCAGCCACACAGGGAATGCATTGCTTATAATGGATCACCTGACTCGTATGTTTGCATTATTAGGAGCAGTAAAGTATAAACGTGGCTTAGCACTGGAAGCAGAGCGTTAATCTATAAAAAGCAAATATAGCAACATGCGTATACTGTACATATGTAATTGCAAGTTTTAAAGAGAAACAAGGGGCAAAGACGAGATCAGTCGTACTGCATAAGAAGAGAGCGAGCAGCAGTGACCGGTTATTTTACAGGAGGGGGCAGAGACAAGACCAGTCACCCTGCACATTGAGAGCGAGCAGCAGTGAGCAGTCTTTTACATGAAGCTCCAAGTCTCACACTGGATTACTGCACAGATCTGAAACAAATGCACAAAGATCACCAAGATTTAAGAAGGAATACACATGGCCCTTGCATTTAGTCAATATTTGTTTTGCCCGGGAGTTAATCTTTAAGAAGTGAATGGCAGTTTTTATACTCTTGCACTTTTGCTTTGGGAACTCTGAACAGTTGGAGCAACCATGTGTATGTACTGTACTCATTTGTCATTTTTCTTGTGTCGTGTCAGATTGCAGCACAAATCTGTCGCCAGGCAGGCCTGGTGAAGAAATCAAAGGATGTCATGGATTACAGTGAAGACAACTTTGCCATTGTGTTTGCTGCTATGGGGGTAAGTATGTGACAACATGTAGTATTTAATCATGCTCTCTGTATTATAGTGATGGGTATAGGGATGCACCGATACCAATTTTTCGGTATCGAGTACCGATTTTTTTTAATTTTTTTATTTCCCCAGTACTCGCCAATAGCGATACCAGAAGTCCCATTAGGGAAGCCAGGCGGAGTGTAATGACTCGGCACCTGGCTTCCTTATTAGCTGGGAAGCCGGGCGGCGTATAAAGAGTCGTCACTTGGCTTCCTGTTTAGCGGGGAAGCCGCCTCCATGCTCCCTCGTCACCAAGTGACGAGGAAGCATGGAGCTGGCTTTCTGGCCAATCGGGAAGCTGGGCGGTAAGTCATTACACACTGCCTGGCTTCCTGATTGGCCAGGGAGCCAGCTCCATGCTCCCTCGTCACCAATGACAAGGGAGCATGGAGCCAGCTTCCCTGCCAATCACGAAGCCGGGCAGCGTGTAATGACTCGCTGCCCGCCTTCTTGATACCGGAAGCTCTGGTATCGGGCTAGGCATCGGAGCATTTGGGCGACGAGAGTACTCGGCAACGGCACCGATACTAGTATTGGTGCATCCCTAGATGGCTATTGGTACAGAACACCTGAAAGATGGATAGATTCGGATTTTGCCAAAACCTTCAATACTGCTCCTCATATCCTGGAAGAGAAGTTGAGGATGCATGGATAAGGAGGGAAAGTTTATACAAGGGAAAGAGATGGTTGAAAGAGAAGTAAAGCTTACACTTGTTTTGTCTTTACTACTTTTGGGTCACAGGTGTACGTATGTACTAATGAAAGATGATTTCATATCAGCAAAGCTGTGAATGGTCTAAAGTTTACATTTTAGAGGCAGATAGAAACAAGCAGCCTAAGGTAGCCATAAACGCATAGATTTTTCTTGTTCGTCTGCAGACTGAGCAAGACCAAATCCAGTCGATTCCTCCATCCACACTAACCACGTAGATGGAGCAATCTCCACTGCTGGGTCTTGTATTCAGCGCTTGCAAGTTCCAATAGTGACACCATGTGATAGGATATAGTCAGTGCTCGGCTGATCATTTTCCACCTGGCTCGGTCAATTTTTGTTCAGCTGGCTAGTACTCATTCAGCAGGAATCAACCAAAATTTGAGCTGTCTATGGTCAGCATTAGATGGGAGAGAAGAATGTAAGCATGGGAGAAAAAAAAGTTGGGGGGGGCGCTTTCTTTTCGCTCTCTCCTCTGCTCTTTTTAACCACCTTTTCCCCCTTTTTTTATGATCACGCAGGTTGTCTTTATTTTAGTCTAAACCCATAGGCCTTAGTATTTTGCTATTAGGCATGCACCAATACCGTTTTTTTGCGGTGTAGAATACTGATATTTATATTTCGGTACTCGCCGATGAGTATTGCTACTTTTGGAGGCATGGAGCCGGCTTCCCAGCCAATCAGCATTGAGCTGACCGAAGGTCATGGAGTCTGCTTCCCGGCCAGTCAGGAAGCCGGCTCCATGTACCTTTGCAGCAGTGCCGGCCAGACGAAATCTCCCTCTGACCGGAAGTTCCGGTATCCAGGGGTAAGTATCGGAGCATTTGGGCGAATACAAGTACTCGCCCAAATACTTAGTATCGGTAACCGGTACTATTATCGGTATCCGTGCATCCCTAGTTGTTATAATTTATCTATTTTCCTTATGTTTTTTATATTTCCTGATTGGGTAAATTCTATCTATTCGAACTAGGCTTTACAGAATGTCTTTGGTGTGGAAGAGTTACGCTTACATCTTCCTATTGGTGTTTATTCTGGAGAACCAGTCTTTTATTGTAGGGGGGTGGTTTGTTTCTGCTTGGCTGGGACTCTACTTTGGCTGTGTTGTATCCAACCAACATTAAGATTGTGCAAGTAATAGGGCAATATCAGTAAATTATTGATAAATGCATCTTAAAACTGGTAGAAATGGGATTAAGCCGATGACTCGGATGGTGTGTCATCAATCCTTAAAGGAGAACTATGAGGTGAGTGCTTTTCACTCATCCTCATAGTTTTAGCCGACCTGTGACAATGAGACTGTCACAGGTCGGCTCAGTGGATCGGGAGGTGAGCGAACACATAGCGGCGTTCGGTCCCCTCTTGATCCTGTCACGGCTCTCTGCCGTGACAGGAGAGGGGCTGGATTCCCCCCTCCCCGCTCCGATCCACCAGCGCTGACTGGTGGAACGGATGGGGGAGGGGGCGGGTACAGCTGGCTCTGCCTCTAGATAGGCAGAGCCAGCTGTCACTCATGCAGCTGGGCGGATCCAGACATAATTGTCGGGATCCGCTGTGGCGTCTCAGTATACTTCGAGGATGACGGGAGGACGCTAGTTTGTGTCGTCCCGTTACCCTAAGGAGAACTATGGGGAAAAGCACTGACCCCATAGTTCTCCTTTAAATCTGCCAGCGCTCTCAACCTATACATTTCCCTTTTCCTAATTTAACATTTTTGAGTATCTTCGGGTGTAATAATCCACTTATTTTTCTTCCAAGGTAAACATGGAGACAGCTCGCTTCTTCAAGTCAGATTTTGAGGAGAATGGATCAATGGACAATGTGTGTCTCTTCCTGAACTTGGCCAACGATCCCACGTAAGTGTGCCGTCCAGCACTGCCAGTAGGGAATGGGTGAGAAAAAAAAAATCATTGGCTGAAGGGTGTTTGCTGTTTTATTGAGGTTCTGTAATAGGTTAAGGGTCTTGCAGTTCATCTTGTTTGTTGCCCACAGCATTGAACGTATCATCACCCCTCGTCTTGCTCTCACCACTGCCGAGTACCTGGCATATCAGTGCGAGAAGCATGTGCTGGTCATTCTGACTGACATGAGCTCTTATGCTGAAGCCCTGAGAGAGGTAAGCTATTCAGAGCAGTAATAGTACTTTATGCTTGTGTCGCAGGAGTTTGAATCTATGGATTTAATTGTCTTTTTACCCATAATGCAGATTTAGAGTTTGCAATCTAAGACCCTTGGCGTAGTTATCACACTCTCTTGTCCTACTTTAGTTCAAATAGGTTACCACTGTTTTTGTTGGTGGGAACACAAACCTAACACTGGTACTGTCTGGAATCAAAATCAGGACTCCAGATCTCCCTAATGCAGTGCTAGCCACTCTTCACTGCGCCTGTGCTAAGGTCAGAGATGACAAATTAGAACTTGGGAAGACTGTTGGGCTAATATTGGATGCAATTTAGGAACCAGTGAGCTTGTACTTCCCTATAGAAAAGCATTAAAGCCAGATGCCAGCTCTAAAGTTTTAGGTAAACAATTTGCGTGGCTCTTGTTATTGGTCCGACCTAATTTTAGGTGTTGGCGAGACTGCTTACAAAGCTGGCCATTATATAAAAGTTCTACTTTTCCTTAGACAGAGCTCCTGTCAGTGTTTTGATAGAGGAGTTTATTATCCTTTTTATAAAGCATCTGCATACAATTTTGGCTTGGTTGCATAGGAGGGTATAACATATTGCAGTTTGTTTAGTAGAAGTCTGAGATAGTAAAAGGAAGTGAAGCAAGTTTCTCTCCCTTGGCTTATTCCCTTTCCTTTGTACCCTGGAACTTAAACTTAAGGTACCCAGGGCTTAAACGTGTAGTATGGAAGATGAGACAGTCCCCTGATGTCTCCATAAAGAGGACCTATCGACCCAAAAGAAGCTGATGAAGCACAGATCTGCTTCAAAAGCTTCTTCTCTAGCCACCTACAGCAGCTGGGGAAATGACTTACTGAAACCGGAAGTGATTTAATACACATCCGCTTTCAGAGATTGGAGGGGAAATCAGCCTCTGGAACTGTGCTGATCTCCCTCTGATCAAGGTACTCCGATCCACTGTGCTGGTCCCGGGCCCACACTGGGTACGGAAACCTGAGATAGCCAGCAGTGGGGGAAGGGGGTGGGGGGCACACAACAGTACCATACAAGAGATCGGGCAGCTCTATAGCCACCCAAACCCTTGTATGTGACAGCCAGGCACCAACTGTAAAAAAAAAAAAAAAGGTTCCTGCCGTTTATATGCGTATTGTGGCCTTGTAGCCGTTAAACTCTTTTTAATAATGAATCCAGATCAAACACATATAAAACGCTCAGCAAAGCATTTTTGCCCGAGCTCTTCAGAATGTTTTCTAAACAGATGGCTGACGGAAGTAATTGTTGGGCTACAAAGTGCGGTGACGTCTGCACACTTGTGCTTCATTGGGATCTGTTAGTCCCTCTGCGTCAGTGACAGATGGGACTTCCAGTCTTTCCGTTCACAGATCCCTAATAATGGATGTGTGTATCAATGCCACGTAACCATGTACAGCTACTCTAAATTCAAGAATCAACTGGACACAAGTTTAGTAAGTGCGGTGTTAGTTTGAAGGTTGGGGCTGGGGAATGTGACTGTTTTATGCTACACCCTAAATCTGGATGTAACATTCAGACTGAAGTGTACGGCCGTCAAAAGATTGATCCCAGATGGCGCAAGGGACAGGTGCTGCGTGTCGTTACACGCAGCAACCTGTTCTTCCCTATGGGAGGACGCGACTGCACACAGTCACACGCCCTCCTGAACGTGCACATCCGTGTGTGGGACACTTGGACGCACACTGTCTGCGTCCAAGTGCGGGCACCCTGACCCGCATGGATTATGCAGATGTGGGTATGACCGTGTGTTATTGCGTGCAGCCATGTCCTCCCATAGGGTAGAACAGGCTGCTGCGTGTAACGGCACGCAGCACCTGTCCCTTGCGCCATCTGGGATCGATCTTGCAGTTACTTGCAGCACCTGTCCCTTCAGGGATGAGGTCCTTTTACAGGTGTGCACACCTCTGTCTGTATAAAGCCCTAAATATTACTAAATGCAAGTTCAGCAACACTGAAAAAGTTATGAGAGCTTGAGTCCCATGAGGCGCTCTGAGACTGAGTTGGTATTGAGAATCTGCTGTTCTTGTTTCATCCACCAGGTGTCAGCAGCACGAGAAGAAGTCCCCGGCAGAAGAGGTTTTCCAGGTTACATGTATACCGACTTGGCCACAATCTATGAACGAGCTGGACGTGTGGAGGGCAGGAATGGCTCTATTACACAGATTCCCATCCTTACTATGCCTAATGATGGTCAGTATGTGCTGTACATATTATCAGAGTGGCCTGGTTTGCAGAATGTGGTGGAAATCGCGTGAAAAAGATTACTGGAGGTAGTATACGGAATGTCTGACTCATTGTTTGCTTTTTGTAGACATCACCCATCCCATCCCTGATTTGACAGGATACATCACAGAAGGACAGATCTATGTAGAGAGACAGCTACACAACAGACAGGTATGAGGGGAATGGGGTAATGTGCCATGTTCTGCATCATTACCCACAGATTGGTTGTTAACAAACTGTCATTGTTAGATCTATCCACCTATCAACGTACTGCCCTCGCTCTCCCGTCTGATGAAGTCTGCTATTGGTGAAGGGATGACCAGAAAGGACCATTCAGATGTGTCCAACCAGTTGGTGAGTCATCCTCCTGCTTCTTAGTGTTCCGGTTGGTCTTCACTGTGCAACACGTGGCACGTTTCTATTATAGGGGGAAGAATCTGTATAAAAAGTGTAAGAACTGCATCTGAACACACAGCAGCATCTGACCTTGATCTGACCTTGAGCTAAACTGGGTTTCAAGGTTTAATTGCCCCAAAAAAAGATTTTTAGCGGTTTACCTCTTTATGACTTCTAAAGCCACGTTGGTTTAGCTCACTTTGCAAACTTGTTGACTACTTGTGAGAAAGCAGATCTGAAGATACTGTAACCCTCACTAGACATTTTTCTGGAATGCTGACCTCAGATCCTCATCGAAAGCAACATGTTTACAGAGCTTGTGTGTCATGATGAAAAAATCCAGCCAGAGTTCTGAACAAGGCACACCTATGTGTACTTTTAGGCCTATGATGATGATGCTTCATTGCTGAAACTGAGAAAGTAATTTCCAGCTGAACTCTGGGCACAAAAACTGCTATTTAAATGTATTTCTCAGTACACACAAGATATACATCCACTTTGTGTGCACCAAATGCCAGATATCACCTTGAAAAAGTAGCAGCATAATGACATAATCATTATTCTGTACATAGCCTGAGCAGAGCTGTGGGAGGGGCCCAGTCAGCGGAAAACTACAGAAGGAGGAGATGAGACCAGTCACCCTGCACAAGGAGAGAGGGCAGCAGTGACCGGTCTTTCTTTACAGGAGGGGGTGGAGACCAGACCAGTCACCCTGCACAAGGAGAGAGAGCAGCAGTGACCGGTCTTTCTTTACAGGAGGGGGTGGAGACCAGATCAGTCACCCTGCACAAAGAGAGAGCAGCATTGACCAGTCTTTATTACAGGAGGGGGTGGAGACCAGACCAGTCACCCTGCACAAAGAGAGAGAGCAGCATTGACCAGTCTTTATTACAGGAGGGGGTGGAGACCAGACCAGTCACCCTGCACAAGGAGAGAGAGGAGCAGTGAGCGGTCTTTATTACAGGAAGCTCCTGTAGGCAAAGTTGTATACTGGGTTACTGTACCGATCTAGAAGATCAAAAACTCAAGCAGGAATACACATACCTCCTTGTATTTAAACAATATTTTCGTATCTAGGAGTTCAGCTTTAAATTGTAGCTTTGAATAGAGTGAGGAAAGGTTCGAACCCCCTGTCAAATATCTATTGCTGTCTGTGTCCTCATATTTTCTCCATCTGTCTTGGTGACTATTCTCACCAAAAGTGAGGGAAATCCAATGTTTCGAGTTGTCTCTGGAACAGGACTTAAGCAGGTTAAAGTGTCAGTAAAATCCGGAGTTTCTTCAGGTCTTAGAAGGAAATCCCTCTCACTGTTGTCAATGGAATAGGTGTCTCTAACGGAAGATTTAAAGTGACACTAGCCTCAGGAGTTCAACCTTAAAAATGCATTCAAGTACCTTTTACTATTAACGGAAATGTATCTTTGAATATCACTCGGCTGTAGATCCTCAAAAGGCCCCGATACCACTTATACTCTTGGCAGCAGGCATTGAAGTCTCCCATGATCTGATTAGGCTCGTGTTGGGGTTATCGGATTGGGATTCAGGTATGCAGGACCATTGCAGATCGGTATGCAGCACATAAGATGGCTTGATTCCACAATAGCGCACTTTATTTGATGGTCAGACACGCGGCTTCTGCCATTCACTTCAAATACCTAATACTACAAAAGGGTAAAAATCTGTGGAGCCCATACGGAGAAGTATCTAATGGCATTATCCCAGCACACAGCACTGTTTGGTCAGAGGAAGCGTAGAAGTTGAACGGGAGGTATTCAATCGCCTCTCTGCCTCTTCATACTTTTGTATAATTGCTTTGTATGGAAAACTGAGCGGGCAATTTTTGTCTCCTTAGTACGCCTGTTATGCTATTGGGAAGGATGTCCAAGCCATGAAGGCAGTCGTAGGTGAGGAAGCTCTGACCTCTGATGATCTTCTGTACCTAGAGTTCCTGCAGAAGTTCGAGAAGAACTTTATAGCCCAAGGTAAGTGTGGACCTCCAAGATTAGTAATTCTGCTGTGTTTTGTAAAGAAGGTGATCGTAGCTGTATTAGTGCACTTGCAACAACACAGTTGAGTACAGTCTGATGTTTTCTGTAGTGTCCATTGAGGGACAGTGAAGAATTCTGAGACATTGGGTTATCGCCCTACATCTCAGAGTTCTTCAGACCTGTGTCCCTCAGTGGACTCCGAGAAAAGCATTTTACGGTAAGCACAAAATCCTATTTTCAGGGCAAGCTGTCGTGGGTTAACCCAGTTCTTGATTCAAGCAGTACTGATGCACAAAGGTTTTAAAATGTAAGCCCTCGTTCACACCTGAACGTTTTGTAGCGCGTTCTACGCTCGAGCGCTCTACAAAACGCTCAAAAATATAAATCCCATTGTATTCAATCGTATTTCCGCCCGTCCCCCAACGCCCTACAAAACGGCCCACGCCCCCTGAAAAGGTACATGTACTACTTTGGCCCGTTGGGCGAATCGCGGTAAAAAAAACGCACGACAGATGCGCATATGCAATACGCCTAGGTGTGAACGAGACCTTACTGTTGGTACAAATTAGGGATGCACCGATACTCGGTATCGGCACCCATACTAGTATTTGGGCGAGTACTCGTACTCGCCCCAAATGCTCCGATACCTTTCCCGATACTGGAACTTCCGGTCATTACTGTTCCAATCCCTCGGCCAGCTGGGCAGACACCGCTCTCCCGGATCTGCCCACGTCTCCTGTGTGTACAGCGCCCACGCGATCGACCCTCAGCCTGCTACTGCGCATGCACAGGATTTCTGAATGAGAGCGCTGGGCAGTCTGCGCGGTAGCAGGCTGAGGGCCGATCACATGGACGCTGTACACACAGGAGACGTGGGCAGATCCCGTAGAGCTTGAGAGCAGTATCTGACCAGCTGGCCGAGGGACTGGTACGGTAATGACTGCTGCTAAGGATCTATGTGAGGGGAATGAGGTGTCTGCATGGTTGGGGGTAGTGTCACCATATTGACAGATCTGTTTGGCTGGGAAGCCGACTTCCCGGCTAAACAGAATGGAGTCTGTTTCCCAGGCAATCAAGAAGCTGAGCGGTAGGTAGTGACACGTCGCCTGGCTTCCTCATTGCCCCGGAAGCCGGCTCCATGCTACCAGAAGTAGCTGTACTCGTTATCGGCGAGTACCCAAATATAAATATCGGTACTCGTACTCAATACCGAAAAAAGCTATCGGTGCATCCCTTGTACAAATACAGTATTTATTTTATAGTATTTATAGTGTTATTACAGCTAGCTAATCTGTTTTTTCCTGATTTGGCCACCAGGTGGCAGAAAGAAGCGTCACCATGCTATTTTATTGTAATGTATTCAGCAAAAGGGATGTTAATTGTCCTGTAGATAAGTGGTAGGTATGTTTGAGATTAGTGCTGGTCACTCTAATAAATGCATATAGACTGTATACTTGTATAGGAGGTCAGATGGATCTCTTCCTTCTCCTTTCTTTTTATTTAACTTGTGAATACCTCCAGAGCAAGATCAGATGGCTTCTAATAACCAAGTTAACGAATGTCCTAAACCAGACTGCCAGAATGATTTTGTCTGTGCTGTCCCTGCTTTAAAGCCCATCTTCAGGCAAAGAATAAACTTACCTTGCAGTGAGGTACGGCAAGGGCTTTAGTGCTCATTGTCTGTAGGGCACCCAAAGCTGTTTGACTTACCTGATCCAGGCTCCCACGGCAGTCAACGCTCACTTCTCTTCACGCTGGATGTTGAAATGTCCCTCGGCGTCCTCATGTCTAATGCAAGTCAGTGGACCTGCATAAGATGTTATGACGTCAACGGTCCTTAGACCTGAAGGGAAGAAGCTGTGGCGACCGGTCTAGCAGCCTGGACGGAGATGGCGGCAGCAGCAGCAGGAATTGCTGGAATTGTATCCCCTGGACATATAGGCACATGTAACCCTTGCAGTGCAATTGACCGGCATAAGATTTGATTATGTCAGCAGCCCTTAGACCGAAGGGGAGAATATACACACATGCACTTAACTCTTGCAGTGCAGGGCAAGCCCCACTGCAAGGGTGAGTTTGTTTTTTTTACCGGACATGGGCTTTGGAAACAGGAAGCAGTGGGAGGCCGTGCTGTGTCTTTGCCCACCCCGTAATGATAGTTGTGGAGGTGTGACAGGTGCTCCGAATTCCACCTCTGATCATATCGGAGATATTAACATAATCGTTTCTTTTCCTTAAAGTGGAAGTTTGCAGAGAAGTAAAAGTTGGCAGACAAAAGCTTTTTATTGCAGAAGACATATTATGCCTCTGGCAAGATTTTTGACCTGTCTGCAGTCTTTTCGACAATGTGTGCTAAGCTGCCCATGCACAACTTGGTCTACAATCCCGGCATCTGCCTGTGCCCACATGATTGTCAGTGTTTGAATCTTTACAGTCCATAATAGAAGTCACCAGCACTCGATATGTGAAACAAGTAAAGCACTTTCTATTCAATCGTCACATGCATCAAACAGCCAACGTTTCTGGGCCACGCAGGGTCCCTTCTGGACGACATTAGGTCACTATGTTGCCCAGAAGAAGGGACCCTGCGTGGCCCCGAAACGCTGGCTGTTTGACGCATGTGATGATTGAATAAAAAGTGCTTTACGTCTTGCACATATCGAGTGCTGGTGACTTCTATTATGGACTGTATCTGGCACGGCGCCACCCGTGTTGTCACTTCAAGCTCCAACCCCATAAGGACTGTACTCTGCATGGAGTGCAGGTGATTTTCTATTATTGATTTGAATCTTTACAGTGGCTCAGTGTTTAGCACTTCTGCCTTGCAGCACTGGAGGTCCCCAGTTCAAATTCTGGTCAGGACACTATCTGCATGGTGTTTGCATGTTCTCCCTGTGCTTTAGTGAGTTTCCTCCGGGGGACTTCTGTCTCCTCACACACGTAGACATGCTGGAAGGTTAATTGGCTCCTGTCAAGATTGGCCTTGTATGCGTGTGCAATAAGGACCTTAGATTGAGGGCAGGGACTCCTTGATGGTGCTACATAAATACCTTTATTAAATAAATATGAAGTGCAACTGGCTTCCTCCTTTGGACTTCTGCAGTAAATGAAGTCAGAAGTCCTAATATATGTGTCCATTGAGCAGATGATGATTTATAATCTCGTTCTGTCTCATGATCATTATGACTCCTCACTTTCCTACTCATTTGTGGCTCTGTGTCCCTGCACCCTCCGCCCAGCTTATTACCCCATGTAAAGCTTGCAGGGTATGCTTTGGGCTCATGCAGTGAAGAGGGAGAATCGTTCTCAAGAACTCTGAGGTCATATTCTGTTAGAATTCTCCTCCATATTGCAGTAAGCGGCATTGACAGTGAATGATTGAAGTAAATTTCTATCTGGGACCACATGTGTCACGGTTATTTATGTATATGATAATGCGGCGAGGCATTCTGTGCAACGCAGAAGGAGTTAAATGGAGTTTGGCAGCGGGGTGGCTCCGGGTGGTCCTGAGCCGTCACCCGTTATCACTGCAGATCCCGCTGTTCAGCCCTCCTTTAAATAGCTTGCGAAGGACTGTCACATGGGGGATGTGTATGTGTGTGGGCGGCAGTCAGTTGCCATGGCAACTAGTGGCTCGTTAAGGGATAATAGCAGCTTTGGTATACATGGTTGGGAGCGTGGAGGGCCCCAGGGGGGGGGGGTCTGACGTGGCCCTCTATTAACCCTATACCGCCTAAGTTATAGCGCCCGATTGATGGGAGGTCATTGTTCTAAGGAGCTAGCACATGGTGGCAGTAAACGGCAGATTAAGAAGGTTACTCAATGGTTTGGTGAATGCTTTTCTCTACAGCAATGGTGGTCAACTTACTTGATGTAGTGAGCCTCAAGTGCAACCCCAGACATCACTAAAGGGCCACATATAATAACTTAATATAATGTTACTGAAAACGGCGGTGGCCAGGGGCCGTGCTGCCGAGGCGGTGGCCAGGGGCTGCGGGGCCGTGCTGCCGAGGCGGTGGCCAGGGGCTGCGGGGCCATGCTGCAGGAATAAGAATATTCTCAAGAGACCGTCTGAAAACGCATGACATGGGACTGCTAGAGATCACTACTATTGCACTACTATTGCACTACTATTGCACTACTATTGCACTACTATCATTAAGAGACCTGAGGACCACTAAGTGCCAAAATGCTGCATGCAGCCCCCCAGACCGCAGGTTGGGCATCAGGGATCCCAAGCCACATTTGTGGAATAGGACAAGAGTAACCTAGCAGTTGATTTGAGTTGTTCATAGTCCAGTGGTACTATCCTGTATTATGTTTGCTTTTCGTTACATTCTGACAAATTTCCCAGCATGCCTCTCACTCCATTTCCTTGCTTCCTCAGGTCCATATGATAACCGCACAGTGTACGAGACGCTGGACATCGGCTGGCAGCTCCTTCGAATCTTCCCCAAAGAAATGCTCAAGAGAATCCCTGAGAGCACCTTGGCAGAATTCTACCCCCGAGACTCCTCCAAGCACTGAGCTCTACCCTCCACCTCCCCTTCATCATTCTGCAGTCGCCCCT